AATAAAAGGAGGTTGAGGGGACAGAGAATGGCAGAGGCAGCTCTCCTATAGCTAAGCTGAATAGGGAAGGCCTCTCTGAGAAGAAAACATCAGAGCAGCAGAAGCATCACAGATCAGGAGTGAGCCTCAGGATATCTAGGGTAACCGTGTCCCAGGCAGAGGAAAAAGCAGGTGCAAAGGCCGTGGGGCTGGAAACTGCTAGTTGTGCAAAGAACTTCAAGGAGGCAAGTGTGGCTGAGCAGAGCGAGGGACAGTGAGAGGAGAGAGAGATGAACTCAGAGAGGAAACGTGGAAGAGATTGTGTAGGACCTTGCAGTGAGGAATTTGGATTTTACTGAGTGACTGGAGAGCCGCTGGAGGGTTTTCAGTGGAAGAGTGACGTCAACTGACTTAGCATTAGCTACTGAGTCGAGAACAGACCATAGAGGACAAGGTAGAGGCAACTAGACCCACTGGGAGTTGTGGCAGTGGCCCAAAAGAGAGGTGGAGTGCAGGAGCTACAGAGCAGCTGGACTCTGGACAGACTCTGAAGGTACAGCCAACAGGACTTCCTCGTGGACTGGATGTGGAGGTGAGAGAAAGACGGGCACCAAAGACAATGCCAAGGTTTGGCCTGAGCAGCCAGAAGGGTGGAGGGGCCATTCACTGAGATGGGCCCGAGGCGGCAGGCTGGGAGGAGAGATGGCTGGGGGAAGGGGACAGGCACGCACATGGTGCTGGACATGGTACGCAGGAGCTGCCAGCAAGACATCCAAGTGGAGAGGCTGAGTGGGCAGGAGGACAAGTCCAGAGTTTAGGGGAGAGGTCCAGGCTGCAGACACCAGCAGAGATGGAGTTTAAAGCCATGGGAATGTCCACACAAAACCTCATCCATGGAGGGTCATGGCAGCACTACTTGTTAACAGCCAGAAATGGGAACAACCCAACGGCCCACCAACGGATGAATGGATGAACACAATGTGGTCCAGCCCCACCACGGGACATTACTCAGCCATGAAAAGGAATGAAGTACTCACACGTGCTGCACATGATGAACCTTGACAACACTGTGCTACACGAACACACTAAACACAGGAGGACAAATATTATGATTCCACTGATAGAAAATGTCCGGATGAGGCAAATTCAGAGAGACAGAAATTACAAGAGTAGATGGCAGGGGCTGGAGCAGGGAGAAAAACGGGAAGTGACTGCTAAAGGGTCTGGGGTTTGCTTTGGGGATGATGAAAATGTTCTAAACGTGTTGTGGTGATGGTTGCACAATTCTTGAATATACTTTAAAAAAAAAACAGAGGCCACAGAGCACCCAGCAAAGGAAACCAAGAACAAGTAGCTGGAGAGGTGGGAGCAGAGGTGGCCACTGCCCCCTCTAGACAGGATGTGTCCCTTCAGTTTGCCCAGGACCGCCCCAACCCACCTGCCCCACTTGCTCCCAGTCCACACCAGGCCCGCACCCAGCAAAGGAAACCAAGAACAAGTAGCTGGAGAGGTGGGAGCAGAGGTGGCCACTGCTCCCTCTAGACAGGATGTGTCCCTTCAGTTTGCCCAGGACCGCCCCAACCCACCTGCCCCACTTGCTCCCAGTCCACACCAGGCCTTCATGGGACCCAGCCCAAGACTGGAAGCTCCAAGGGACAGGGACTGGGTCTGTATTGTTCACGACATGGATCCTGAGCCAAGCCAGCACTGGAGCATAGCAGGTGCCACAATAAGACCTGTGTGTCACCAGGAAACGACTAGAAGGGTCAGTGATGGCAGGTCCCCCTTGGGCACCCACCGGCTGTGCACCAGGGGCATCCCCCAAACCTGAATCATTTCCCTGGAAACGCCAACGGAAAACTCAACAAAGTCTGAAAATGCCAACTGTCTATCCCGAGCCTGGGCTGAAGAGCCAAAATAGAATGTTCCAGCTATTCTTAGGCAATGTTCAAGTTCAGCTTTTTGGGGCTGTTCCCAAAGAAGCTTTCATTCTCGCCTCTCCCCTCTTCCCACCCAGGCTCTTCAACCCTGTGCGCCTCCACAATCCAGAGTTCAGCTCACACAAGGGGGCTCAGAGGGCCGCAGGGACATCTGCGCGGGCGTCAGAATCTGGAAGTACTGGAGGGGGTGTTCTGGGGGTTTGAACTCAGCTGCCCAAGCTCACGGGATCATCTTTTTAAATCCACTGGAAAATGTGACCAAAAGGAGGAACTTGGGAGGGGTATGAAGAGGTCCCCTCATCCCGGCTGTTTAGTGATGCAAACGTTCCTGCTGTGGGTGCCAAAGGCCACGACACTCTGAGCAGTTCTGTCAGGCAGGAGTATGGCGTGTCCCCATACAAGGCCCCGCTGGCTGGTCCCCCGGCGCTCTCCGAGCCCCTGATAAACACAGCTGGAGGCCGCGGAAGGCGAGCCGAGCAAGCCTCTGAGGAGCGCAAACGGGCAGTGTAAACAGCCATGTGGTCAGGAGGGCAAAGCCACAGCTGCTGCAGCACCGTTTCCTGTGGGCCGCTTACTACGACAGTTGCCGGGCACGTCTGCCCCTGCTCTCTCTCCTCCTGGGAATCCAGAGCACAGGAATCCCGCCCAACCAAACTCTGGCCCCTGGGGAGATGTGAGCAGGCCTCAGAAACGCCTGGGCTTCACGTTGCGCTGAGCGTCCTCTGGACACATAGGTCCAGCCCCCACTGGTCATTAAAACGTGTCACAGAAGCTGCCACTCCAAGTGGCTGCTGGGACCCCAGACTTTCCTGAGATCCAGAAACCAGAGGGTTAACACCTTGGCTCAGCTCTGGGGCTACAGCTGGCGGTTCTTCTCATGGGTCAGATGTTCAAAGTTTTGAAACCCAGGAAAGAAGGAGCAGACCAGCCATGGAGCCACAAAACACAGGGCCACCAACCTTCTTAGACCTCCATTTGGGTAACCGAGAAGGTTAGCATCCCTGGCACCCAAGCACACTGGCAGCTTAATTCCCAAAATGCTTCTCAATAGGCAGTGTAGCCGTATGGTTAGGGGCAGCACTCTGGAATCAGAATTTGCCCAGGTTCAAATTGTGGTTCCTACCATTTACCTGCTGTGAGGACTTGGACAAGCCATTTCCATTCTCTGTGCCTCAGCTGTCTCATCTCCAAAATAAGGCTACTCAAAGTACTGCCTCACTGATTCACTGTAAGAATTAGATAAGTACGTGTCCCCTCATCCTAACAACCCTAGAATACTATCAACACAAACCCTGTATGACAAGTGAGAAGCTGAGGCACAGCGAAGTGACTAGCCCAAAGCCTGCGATGCCTGGCTCTAAGCCAGGGGTCAGCAAATTTTTTTTGTTAAGGGCCAGAGAGTAAATATTTTAGGCTTTGCTGGCCACATCCGGTCTCTGCTACATATTCTTCTCTTGTTTGTTTTTTGTTTTGTTTTTTTTAACAAACCTTTAAAAAATGTAAACACCGTTCTTAGGTTGTACAAAAACAGGCCATGGGCTGGATTTGACCCACTGGCCCCAGTTTTGCCAACCCCCACTCTAAACCACTACAGTATACTCCCTCTGAAGAGCAGCCAACTAATTCAAGTTTGAA